TCCAACGTTTAAGTTTCGCGTTAGGATTTTTATCCGAAACGGCGAACGTTAATGGTTGGTGGTCTGTATAAATGCGTAAACCTTTTACTCCATATAAATAATTACGGAGGTTTTTAAGGGACCAGACAATGGCAAGTAGTTCTCTCTCGTTTGTTGCGAAGTTTTTTTCAGGATCGCGTAACGTGCGAGAAATCATTGTAATGGGGCGTCCTCCTTGCGACAGTACCGCCCCTAGACCTAAACCTGTGGCGTCTGTTGTCAAATCGAATGGCTTTGTAAAGTCAGGATATGACAATAAAACATCTTCCGATGCTAGGATCTCCTTTAATTTTTGGAAAGCCTCTTTTTGTTATTTATTTAGATCAATATTAATTTTTCTTGATTGATATTTGCTCACTTTTCCCCTTTTAGGATTCCAGTAAGGGGCCCTGCGATAGATGCAAAACCTTTAATAAAGCATCTATAGTAAATCGCTAACCCAAGAAAAGATCTGAGGTCGAAGAGGGTTTTTGGTTGTGGGAATTCTTTGATAGCCCTGACCTTTTCGGGTGAGGTTCGTAGACCCCCTTCTGACACTATGAATCCCATGTATTCAACGCTTTTTTTAAAAAACTTTGACTTTTCTTGGGATACCCTCATGCCTGCTTCTAGAAGTTCCTCGAGAACCCAGTGAATGTCTCTCACGTGGTCCTCTTTTGTTTTTGAAAAAATAATGACGTCATCGACATAAACGTAGCACGTCTTTGAAATTTGTTCCCTTAGGACGTCGTCGATGGCCCTCTGAAAAATGCTTGGAGCGTTTTTCAGGCCGAACGGCAGTCTACAAAACTCGTATTTACCGTTATTTATGGAGAAGGCCGTTTTCTCTCTGTCCTTCTCCGCTAATTCTATCTGGTGGAAGCCTGATTTCAGATCAAGAGTTGTGAAAAATTTTGACTTGCCCATATTTGACAGTATGGTTGATATTGTCGGAATGGGGTATCTGTCATCCACCGTTTTCTGATTTAATTTTCTAAAATCGATAACTAATCGTTTCTTTTTTAAACCATTTTGGTCGGTTCCTTTTTTGTCTACGACCCAGCTTGGATTATTATAGGGTGATCTAGATGGCCTTATAATGCCGTCCTCTAGAAGTTGTTTAACCTCTGAGTTTACGAATTCTGTCACACCCATGGGATGTGGGTACGTTTTTGAGTACACCGGCTCCCCATCTGTTTTTATTGTTGCAATAGTATTTATGTTGTAGGGTAAAGCCTCGTCTGGATCAGCGAAAGCTTTACAGTTTTTTTTAATCATATTTTTATTGCTTGATTTTGTTTGAAATATTGAAATCAAACATTTTTTTGTAATTTGTGTGTGGCCATGAATTGACCTTACATTGAACGGGTTGTCCACTTCCAAGATGCCTTTAAGCGTCGGGAGATGCGCAATATAATTTTTTGATGTTCCTGTATCGATTAATAGTTTTATTTTTTGCCCTGCTAACCTACGAGTAATATAAGGGAGCAGGGAATTTATTCTAAAAATTGCAGATATCATCTGCGTCTAAATCATCTTCAGTCTCTGTTCAGACGGTTTTTCTTCTGGCATGAAGTTTATTTTTTGTTGGCTTCGTGCCGACTGGTCCTTTCGCCAGTTTGTATTCTGTCTAAATTTAGAGGAAGTATCTACCTCCATGGGCTCCGGCTTTGGCCGGGCCTGAATGTTTTCTACGTAAGGATGAGTGTTTTGTTTGGACGAGGGCGTTTGATTATTTCCCCAGTTTTTACCTCTGGTAAAGTAAGGGTTTTTTTTAATTGCCCCTGTGTTTTGGTTCGGCTCATAGATAGGTGAGCTTGACTGTTGTGGTGGGTTTTTCCACGAGGTTGGTCGGTAATTACTGGCCTTATTTATTTTTTCTTCGCTATGCCGAGCGAAGCTGGCCGCGAATATGCTCCTATCATTGCTTGATTCTGCCTCTTGTGCAAGAGCTAGTGCCGTTGGCAGGTCCCGTGGTTGCGCCGGGAAACGGCAATTTTTAATGACTTCTTTAAGCCAGAAACGAACGCATGAAGTGCGTCTTCTCTAAATTTGTTATTAAGTACGGCTACAGCGGCAGCGTCGTGCGTCATTACTATCTTATTTGTCAGAAGTGTTAACCTTTTTTCGACTTCATCATAATATTTAAGTAGCGGTAAATCTCCTTGCCTTGAAAGGCTTAACTCCTGTTGAATTACATGAGCTGGAGTTTTGTCCGCATATGTAAAATCGAGGCGGGCTAATATAGCGTGAAAGTTAAGTACTGTATTAAATGAAGCTAACACGGCCGCTGTCGGGCCTCTAACTTTATTTCTAAGGATGGCCACGGCTTGATAATGCCGACTGCTGCCCAAGTAAGGCTCAAAGACCTTATAAGCTGCGATGGCGGCCTGTCTCCAGGATACGTAATTTTCCTGTTTCCCATCAAATTCGGGGACTGATTTTATAATGTCTAGGGGCTCGTTGCACTCGGCTCCTGGTATAATACTTATTTCTTTAAAGATTTCTATTTTTGGGGTCTCTTTTTTTAAAATGTTTAGTTCCCCCATGATTACACTTAATTTTTCGTCAAACAGCCTTTGCTGTCCTTCTAGGGCCTCACTTATGGCCGCTTCCATGCTTGCGATTTGTTCGGGCTGCATGGTTTGTGGTTCTTGTGAGGGGGTATTTAATGGAATAAAATTATCCAAAGTACTTTTCCTTAAGGATATATTGGCCCTACTGGATGAGGGCTCACAGTCCTCACTTTCGCTATTTTCTGCTTGTATTCCCCCACTTTTTTGTGCTAAAAGTTGCTTATATTCGTCTATGAGTTCATCGCCCGATGAGTCTGTGTCGTTGTTTCTGAACATTAGCTTTTTTATGAGCGAGCGAGAATTTTTTCATAAAGATGGAATATATTTATTCTATTCCATTTATTTATTTTAAACTTTCATTTATAATTTTTATTAATATGCTTAAGTTGAATTCTTAAATGCACTTACAAAAGATTTTTGGGGAAAAAATAACTTGTAATTTTTAATTTTTAATTATTATATAGAAAAAGAATACAGTGTAGGCAGGCACGAAGTGCGAACTGAATTTTTCTTTGTATAAAAATATATTTGTTGCAATATGCAGAATTGTGCTACAGCCACTTTATTGAAATTTAATTTATTTTTCGTTGCGAACAAGAACAAGAACAAAAACAAGAAAGCAAGCAAACTTCGGCAAGCCGAAGTTCATATACCCTTGCAGCAATTTCAACTTAATACTCTTGAAAACGTTAAAATTGTGATTTACTTGCGAGTATGTTTAAAAACATTGAAGCTATAATGATTTGCAGCTTAATTATTCGATAGTTCCTATGGCAGCTATACGATTGTTCCTATGGGAGCTATATGCTATAGTCGTCCGATTTTGATGAAATTTAAACCGTATTTCTGAAATATTTAACCATTACTGTATCTCGAAGATCTAACAAAAAAATTAAAAAACAACAAAGTTATAATTTTTTTTTATTTTTTTTTATGATTGTTCCTTTGGGAGCTATATGATATAGACGTCCGATTTTGATAAAATCTAAACCATAATTCTGAAATATGTAACCATTGCTTTATGTCGAAGAACTGAACAAAAAATAAAAAACAGCAAAGTTATAATTTTTTTCATTTATTTTTCCGATTGTTCCTATGGGAGCTATATGCTATAGTCGTCCGATTTTGATATAATTTAAACCGTAAATCGGAAATATTTAACCGTTACTAAATGTCGAAGGACTAAACAAAAAATTAAAAAACAGAAAAGTTATAATTTTTTTCATTTATTTTTCCTACTGTTCCTATGGGAGCTATATGCTATAGTCGTCCGATCCGGCTCGTTCCGACTTATATACTACCTGCAATAGAAAGACAACTTTTGGGAAAGTTTCATGCAGATAGCTTTAAAACTGAGAGACTAGTTTGCATATAAACGGACGGACAGACGGACGGACAGACGGACATGGCTAGATCGACTCTACTAGTGATGATGATCAAGAATATATATACTTTATAGGGTCGGAAACGTCTCCTTCACTGCGTTGCAAACTTCTGACTGAAATTATAATACCCTCTGCAAGGGTATAACAAGAAGCCCACTTACATGTTTATTTTATTGGCTGCTTCTTCGGTGAGTTTCTGTTCTTCGTGCGGGCCGCGGGGCCGGTCGGTGGCAACGGCTTCCGTTGACGGTTGTCGTACCCTCGAGCGGGACGAGGGGTTTGGTTGATGAAGGCGGCTACTGCTGGCGGTTGTCGTATCCTCGAGCGGGGCGAGGGGTTTGGCTTCGTTGACTTCTGTCGTACCCTCGAGCGGGGCGAGGGGTTTGGTTGGCAGCGGCGCCTAGTCGGTTGTTTTTAAACAAAAAAAAAAACATTTTTTCCAGTAGCAGCAGTATGACTTGTAACTACTTTTTACTTCTCACGGTTGCTCCGTTTTCTAAGTGTGTGTTTTTTATTTCATTCGTTTTGTTCACTTTATGATTTTTGAACTATGATAATTTTTTTTTTTTTTAAAAAAACCTTTTTATTTTTTTACACTTGCAATTTAGTGTTATTTATTTTTAACTCCGGCTTTTCGTGGTTGTTTAACTTTTTTGGGTGTGAATTGTGTTGTTCACTTTATTATTTTTTGAAATATTATTTTTTACTCTTGCAGTGTGATTTGTAAGTTTAAATTCTGGCGTTTGCCAGTTGTTTTATTCACTTTTTTGGGTGTGATTTTTATGGTTCACTTTATTACTTTTTTGTTTGTTGGGTTCTTTAGTTTAGTTGGGTGCCAATTAATGAATTGTGTTCTTTATATTTTTATATTTCCTTTATTTCCATACACCCGTTAGGGCATAGGTTAATTTTTCGGATTTATAACGAAGCTTAAGCCCCGGAGTACAATTTTAGAATGACTGATAAATTACCGCGGCTGCAACTCCAGGGCTCCCTTGGGCGACGGCGCAGTCGCGTTAGTGCAGGGTCAGCACTTTGTGTCTGCCCAGCAACGATCACTCGTCGCAGGCGTGCTGGAGTTGGGCAGGCAGCGTTAGCCCCGGAATGCGCTGTCAGCTAATTTGGCCTTGCGCATTTGTGGGCTATTGTATCCGGTGCGCAATTCGGCAGATTTTCTGCATTTCGGTTGCGCGTGTTAACTTGTACTTATGTCCATAATATATATTTGTATATTGTATATATTTATATAATATTGTACATAATATATATTTGTATATAGTATATATTTATATACTATTTTCGTTGTAATTTGTGTTGGATATTTGTGTTGAAGCCACCCAAGTAAACAGAACGCATCAACATACACAAAACTATTCATTCGCCATCACAATTGTTTGAGAACCATGTATTTCTAGATATTTTCCATCCTCACACACACACACAGCCACAATCCTATGTGTTTCTTGAATGTATACAACTCTCCCCTAGCCTATTCCCCAACAGATATAGTTTAAAAAGAGTCTTCGTTCAATTATATCAACTAGGTAAAAGTTAGTTCTTTGGATCTAAGGAACGAATAGACATCGTCGGTTTCCTGCGTACTGCTTAAAACTCTATTTTCGTTTTTAATTTTTGTGCGTTTAATAACAAAGTATAAACAAAAAATATAAAGCAATGGCTTCAGTTCAGTGCGATATTTGTAATATTAAAATTAATCTGTCGGAGTTCGAAGTTCATTACGAGAAGTGCTATGGCAATAAAAAATAAGATTTGTTGTGATTAATGTTCAATTGATGTAGATTGTGAAAAATTTAGTGAGCATTATAAAAGGTGTCTCGGACCAAATATTGCTTTCAATGCGCTAATGCAAGCCCGTGCTAAAAACACAAAAAAGATAGATATCAACGAATATGATATTATTGGCCAGCAACCATCTACTTCGAGTGCTGGAATTAAGCGAAGTAGAAATGATGGAAATTCCGCTCTTGAGAGTAATCCAAAAGGATTAAGTCTCAAATCGAAATTATCTGCGACCTATGTGGAGAAAGGTACCCCCAAACCGGAAAAATCAAACATTTAAAATCGGGAAAGCATAAGAATGCAATTGCTAGAAGAGCAACAGATGTTGAAATAATTTATCTGGCGTCGGATACAGAATTCCCAATCAAATCCTATCGGGTTCAATCCACCAGCACATCCAATTTTATTGATATAAAAGAAATCTATAATCAATGTCAAAATAATGTTTAACAAATTCTTACTAGATGGCTAGAGGAATACATATCAATTAAATTCAGTTTACAAGTATATGGACTATATGTAAAATACACAGTGGAGGGAGAGTGTATTGACCCCTATAAACATTTTGGAACGGCCTACATATCTGTGTATGATGTTCATAGCTTATCTACTAGAATTGATGAAGGTATCGATTATTTATCAAATGCTAGTAGTGAGTTCCAGGAAAGAGATTCTGGATGGACAATAAAAGCATTTAAATATTTTAACATCACAATAATAAAATTGGAGCACATTACAGTAAGAGGATATAGTCCAGCACCTCCTACTATTAAGGCTAAGAACGTTTTAATTAATGTTACAACCAATGATAATTATTGTTTTAAGTGGAGTTTACTAGCTTCTATAGCTTATATAAGTAGTTCTATGGAATCATTTTCTAACCCCAGACAACGGAGGTTTGCTAGAGAACAATTACAATTCCCCATAAAATATATAAATGCTAACATTTCATGTGGAACCTAATTTTTCAGGAATAGAGTTTCCTATTCCGAAATAAGGGATAAAAAAATTTGAAAAATTGAACCCCAACTTTAGTGTTAACGTCTACGAACTCGGTTCTAAAGGAATACAAATTGTTAAGCCCGTAGTAAGAACCGATTTAAAGGGGAGACCATCCCATATCAATTTGCTGGCAATTTCAAACAACAATTAGAGCATTATGCCTATATAACCTGTATGAGAACACTATGCTACTCACAGCATTCAAAATCTAGAACCCCTGCCTATTTTTGTGAAAACTGTTTACAGTTTAAAGCGTCAACAAATTTAACACATGATACCAGGGAATGCGGTAAAGTGGCTGCGGAATATCCAAAACCGAATACCATAACAAAATTTAAAAATTGTTATAAAAACTATCACCACCGGTAGTTATATATGCAGACATTGAAGCGGTATTAAAAAAAGTTCACACAACACAAAATGATCCATCAATTTCATCTTCAACGACATCTCAAGAGCATATTGCTTGCGCTGTATCATTTTTTGTGGTACATAAATATAACCCAAGTCTTAATAGACAATGGACCTATGAAGGTAAAAACAATATTACAATCTAAAGTGATTTAATATTAATAAATATATTTTCTTTTTAAAGGAGATGATTGCATTAAAAAGTTTTGTCAAGCTCTCAAGGATACTACCAAGAGTTTATACCACAAATATTGGACCACCCAAACAAGGCCCCAAGATGAATGCGAACCGATCTCCTTCGACAACGATAATTGCTGTGCCTGTAAGTTACCGATACGGTATGTTTTATGATCAATATGTTTTATGATCAATTCTCTGGTAGCTATATCCAGTAGTTTTTCATTACCTTTCTAGGAAATAATTTAAAACCGATTCTTGTAATAAGGAATTATATATTGCTTTAACCCAAACCATTAGATTTGATGAAAAAGATTATTACAAAATTCAATTCATAGATTCCAATTTTTAAATCCTAGTCTAGAAAAACTAACTAGCTACATGGATAAATCTAATTTTAAACTTTTAAAAACTAAATTTCAAGGGGAGAAATAATATGTTAAAGTTCACGCGAACCGAATTACTTTAATAAGCAATCCTGATATGTACAATTTTATTAAAAGACCTATTCGAGGGGGATTGACTCAATGCACCCAAAGAATTTCGTGTGCTAATAAGTACAATAAGTACATGAACTATTTCGATAGAAACAAACCTATTAACTTTTTAGCTTACATAGATGCTAATAATTTATATGGATGGGCTATGAGTCAACCTCTTCCTATATCAGAATTTAAATTTTTGAACAATCTGGAAATTAATCAATTCGATATTAAAAATATATCAACAGAACAGAGATTACAGATTTATGTTAGATGCTCATAATTCGCTGCCTTTTCGTCCCTTAAGCATTCATGGATGATAGCGATTTCGGCGACGGTAGGCTGCTATTTGGGAGGAACTTGAAACTGTATCTATTTAAACATTTTCCGATACCGCTGAAGGAATGCAGGGGCTTATCTTCCCTTTTCCATTTTTTTTCTTTTTTTTTTTGTTACTTTAAGCCACACATTCCTTATTTTCAGTCACTCACTAGATCACTCACTCCATTCGCACACCAAAGATTAATAATTAATTTAATTCCATTGATTTTTCCACATTGCTGCAGCTTTTGCTGCTTAATTTCTGTTCGGGGCTGAGGATTAAAGTAAAGGCATATTTAATACCCCTTCCCGTGGTGCAACTCCACTGTTGACTTTGGCGAAACGCTCGATCTCGCGCCGGACACTGCTTTGATCGCCGGTTTCTTGTGCGCTTCTGCTGCCCGACCGTCCGTGGTCTTCTCCTTCTCCTTTTGGAGCGATTTTTGTGGCTTTTGCGCTGTGGTAGCTTCACAGCACTGCAAAAAAATTCTGGTGCGCCTGCTCTCGCCGATTTTACGGGTTGCGCTTTCCTTCGCCGATTTTGAGTTTTACTTCTTGGGACTTGGGGCGGCACCTTTTGGCCTACACCTATGAAATAAAATGAGCCCCCTTAGAAAATCTAACAGACCTCACAGCTTCTCACTCACCCCTGGACTTGGCCGTAATCCCACTAATGCTGGGCTATTCCTTTTGGGCTCCTTTGCCGTGATACTTCCTGCTCGCCTGATTGAGCACTTTTGTACGAATTTTATATTAAACACCACCAGCCAAACAATCACTTTGGATGCCAAACTAGGAATGGCGGCTAATGACGCTGCAATAAAGGCGGCAACCTATCTCCCCACCTAATTGGAGAAATTCTCTCACTCAGACTTGACTAACCTGGTTGTTCTGTTTGTAATTTAGCCATCCCCTGGCTTCTTCTTAATTTTTTAAAAGGAAATGATAATTTGAAATATTTGTTTGTCAGCGGGACTGACTTCGTCAGGAGAGATTCGGAAGGTTGTCGCAAGCAAGAGGTTCGGCGAAGTTGGCCTGGAGGTGCAACAGAACCCTGCGCAGCGACCTAAAGTAGTGGTGAGCAATTTAGACACGGCTACGCCGCCAGCCGAGTTTATGAAGGAGCTCTTTAAGAACAATTTCGCCGAAGTGATGGACTTGGCTGCCTTTGAGAAAGCGGTGCACCTGGAGAAGCCGTGGACTGCAGCTGATGGCGCCACAGTAAATGTGACGCTTGAAGTGAATTCCACTGCTTTGGAGATACTGGACGGAGGCAAGGCGTATATCGGCTGGTTTGCTTATAACTGCCGAGCGCTGGTGCGCACATATGCGTTGGCTTTGACCACAAAGTCGCGCAGTGCCGGTATAAGGAGAACGTGTGCCGCCAGCGCGGACAGGCCGGCCACAGTGCGCGAGGCTGCACAAATCCGACGGACTGCCGGAATTGCCGATTCAAGGGCTACCCGTTGCTGTCGCCGGGTTGTCCTGTGTATGCGGCGGTGCTGGCAAGGGTGAATGCCAGACATTAATGTTTAGCTTCATCCAAGCAAACTGTGGTCGTGGCGAAGTTGCGATGTCCGACGCTTTAGACAGAATGTGATAGTCAAAATGCCTGTTCGCACTGCTACAGGAGCCGTACCTCGGAGCCGAGTTTTTGGAAAGGCTGCCCGCAGGGCAAAGCCTCTTTTCTGATCCGAGTGGAAACGCACCCATTGCTGTGGACCATCACGATGTCATCTGCGTGCCAGTGGAGCCCCTCACCACTGATTTTGGACTATGCGTGAAGCTGCAAGGGAGTTTTGGCTCAATCTTCCTTTGCTCCGCATACTGTCGGGTCGGTTTTCCGCTAGAGCCGTACCTCAGATACATGGATGCCTTCCTGCTGCAAGTCAGCAGAACTCCCGCAATCCTTGGACTGGATGCGAATTCAGCATTCCCCATGTGGTTAAGCAAACTCTCGCTTTGCTGAGAGACACGCAAACTACTCCCGGGGTGAGCTGCTGTCTGAGTGGATACTGGAGAAGGGAGCCATTGCCCTTAACTAGCCTAGCGAGGTTTACACGTTCAATAACATAAGAGGATTCCACAGCGATATTGATATCAAGTTATCAGTACACAAAACTAAATTTTAACTTTCCATAAATTTTCTTTTGCAAGAATTTGCCGTTAAATATTAAAACACAAGAGGCAAATTTAATTCTCTTACAAATAATTAACGGCGATTTCCTGCAAAAGAAAATTTTCGAAAAGTTTAAGTTAATGGGGGTGTACTGCTTAGCTTGATATCAAGTTAAAATAATTTACGGATAATTAACGGCAATTCCGTGTAAATAAAATAAAATGTTGAAAAAGTTAAAGTTTAGTTTTGTGTATATATCAAGTTAGAACATTGGATAACTTTTAAAACAATTGAGCGGAAATTTTTTTTCCCTTACAAATTACAGATAATTAACGGCAAATTATGGTTAAAACAAATTTTTGATTTTGAAAGTTGTACTGCTACTTTCATGGACATGGCGGAAAAGTCGTCATCCGCAGCAGCCGAACGTGAAGGGCTGGAGCGGAAGGGCCGGCAGAAGGACGACGCTGCCGCTGAGAAATATAGGGACGGGGTCGCCTCGATGACAGGCGGTCGACCGATATTTGCAATCGATGGGTACTAGAAAATACTGGATTTCTTAATGAACGGTCACACCGATGCAGTCCTGGCAACTTATGACAACGATATCGATAATAGCAACGACAATGACAATGCTGAACCACACTATCGATAAACGCGAACGGGACGTGTTGAGTAGAGTGGCCAGATTACGGGAATCGAACTAGTGATTTCACAACGGGGAACTGTCTGGGCGGGAAATTCAAATTCCACCCTGGGAACTCTCTAGGGAACGAGATGCAGTTTTAGGTAAGTTAAAGTCTTCCGGGGAACTGTCTGGGTAACTGAGAAAGGGCTAACGCAGCGCAGCCGTGAGAAAGTTAAAGGACTTTCAGGGCGCTTGCTAAGGGAAGTCTTACGGAGAACAGTCTGGGAAAGTTTTGGGGAACTGTCTGGGGATCACAAGGAGAACGAGTTTGGCGGGGAATTTGACAGAACGAAGAAAGGGGGAAATGTGAGGAATTTTGATTTTATAAAAATGTTCTTGATAATAAAATATTTTTCTGTTGGTGTTTTAGTTAGTGAACAAAATTTGTATGTTACGCCGCCCAGAGTAGAAGGTTCATCATTTTAGTTGATTTTCCGAATGAGTTCGATGGTTTTAGGTTTATAGGTGTGCATGGTGATTTCACCGTATTGTTCCCATGGGAGCTATGGGATATAAATGTCCGATCAGCACGCGCATTTACCCTGGAAAAAATACGATACGTCAATAGCTTTTACACTGTGCGAAATATCTTCAGTTCCTGCAAATTATATATGATTTTTTCTATGGGAGAAATGAATGCTAGTACCATTTTTTATTACATTCTCAATTGAGAAATGCTACCAAAATAAAATATCGTCAGATTTTTCATTACTTTTAAACAACATTTAAATATTTTATATCACAAGTTTTGGGAAATCTAATGAAATATCCTTTTAGTAGGCTTAGCGTATGCTAACCTGCTGCCGGACTTGTTGTTCCCACTATGCCCACTGACGCTAATTCGATGGTGAAGCATTGCCTTGATGCTGCTTCGAGGGTCGCGAGCGAGCTTTCCTAAATAAGGGAATTGCCGATTCAAGGGCTACCCGTCGGAGCATCATATGCTGTCGCCGGGTTGCCCTGTGTAAATTAATGGATTGTGTTCTTTATATTTGTATATTTCCTTTATTTCCATACACCCGTTAGGGCATAGGTTAATTATTCGGATTACAATTTTAGAATGACTGATAAATTACCGCGGCTGCAACTCCAGGCCTCCCTTGGGCGACGACGCAGTCGCGTTAGTGCAGGGTCAGCACTTTGTGTCTGCCCAGAAACGATCACTCGTCGCAGGCGTGCTGGAGTTGGGCAGGCAGCGTTAGCCCCGGAATGCGCTGTCAGCTAATTTGGCCTTGCGCGTGTGGGCTATTGTATCCGGTGCGCAATTCGGCAGATTTTCTGCATTTCGGTTGCGCGTGTTAACTCCTCCCGCCTTTAAGTGGTCGCCGTCCCGGTGACCTGTCGCCTCCACGTCGCAGTTGTTTCTAGTTTTGAGGCTGTGCTTGGCTGTCCGATGATGATGGATGAGCCAGGCCGCAAAGCATAGAGAGATAGCGGCGAAGAAAATTACGGCATTGGTGGTAAACGATCCGGTTGTCATCCTTTCTCTCAGAGCGCCGATGTGGTGGAGATTTGTTAGGCTCAGTTCATGGAGTAACGGAAGACTGAGTCGATTTTGGTGGGCCGTACTGTTTACCAAGGTCATGGCTGAGACAGCGGGTTTCTTTCTTGAGCTTCCCAGTTGGTAAGTGTACCAAGTTCCATTTATTGATAGGCTGTTAGAGTAGGTTACAAGGTACGAACCGGATATTTCTTGTTTAAGCCCAAGGTCGTCGACTATAGTCACTTTGGCATCGTTGATGATAAGGGTACCATGATCTATTGTGGTAACCGGATCTAAATGCCCAGGTAGGGTGGAGCACTGTGGAGTGACCCCAGAAACCATTTGCTGTGCGCAGGTGTCGCCTTGCAGTTTCTTGCAGAAAGTAGCGCCTACTGTGGCCATACAGCTTCCGATGTTGACGATTCGTGTTGCGCATTCGGCGACCAAGTCCCCATTTTCGAAGTTCAGAATTTTGTTGTTGTGCTGAACTGGGTAGACTGTAATTTTTCTACATACTAACTTAGAGTTAGGAAATTTAATAAGGAAATGGATTATTTCAGAATTTTGAAAAACGCTTATGCTAGATACTTCTAAAATTTCTACTAAACTGATGTTAGCGGGCTGTTTGTTCTTGAATTCGCTAATGTCGCTGTTATCTAGGATGGCTGGGCTTACAATGTTAAGCTTTGCTAGGGTTAGGCCCATCAAAACATTTTCTAGGTCTGTGATAACTATTCTGTTTTTTGCCAAGATGATTTCTAAAAGATGTGCTTCTTCGTCTCTGTCTACGTTTTGACTTTGATTCATGGAATTTATAAGTGCATTTAATCTTTCTTGAAATTTAATATTTAATTCAGTTTGCCCTTCCTCGGTGTTAAATAATTGCTCCTGATTGAATTTAATTTTTTCCCAGTCATCAAAGTCGGGGGTTCCCGCAATAACCTTGAGTGCTGTTCCGACAAGGTTAATGCTTCTAGTATCCCTGTGATGGGTTTTCAGGGTAGCGACCAGTTTGCGAATATGTCTTAGGTCCGTAATTATTACCTGCGTCCTATGGTCGTCTTTAAGAGTTTCTGTCATTGTTTCTGTTTGGTCCGCATAGTCTTGGTAGGATGTCAAGTTTGTAGCGTGTTGTAGGTATCCGTAACTGTCCCAGATTACAATGTCACCGTCTACTATTGGAATGTAGTCCGCGTTCGTGTAGTTGCTGAGTTTAACCGTCGCGTTTGTCGTTACATCCGTAAGTGTAAGTAGTAAGAAATATTTCGTAAACCTAAAAGAAAAGTTGAAAGTGATAAATTTAATTTAGATTGTTTTATATATATATCTCTTTATTTTTCATACTCAGAAGAAGTGGACGGAAGCCATAACATGAGTTACAGATCGTTGGTAAAGAATGGATTTTTTAATTATTTGCGCGACTTCTGTCAACGCAATAATGCCCTGAGCTGGCCGGAAATCGCAAGGGAGGGGGCCCGGTCCTGGAAACATCTGAGCGAGGAGGAAAAGAGTCGCTACCAAATCATGTCCAGCACTGACACGGACATCGTTGCCTTGCAAATGAACAATGAGATGTGCAACCATCCAATGGGCAGAATGGGCGGCGGCATGAAGGGGAAATCTTGCGCCAAGCCCAGAAAAGCCTCTGCTCGGCAAAAGAAGTCCTGTGCCATGCAGCGAAGAAAGATGGCCTGTGCCAAGCCCAAAATAAGGGCGGTCTGTGTCAAGCCCTGAAAGGCGGCCTGTGCTAAGCCCAGGAGGTCGGTTTGTGCCAGGCCAAGGAAGCCGAAATGCGAGAGCAACTGCACCAAGCCGGGTCCAGTCATCAACAACGGGTATCTGAACTTTGTGCGTGAGTTCCGCAAGAGGAACTGTGACCTCAGTCCACAGAAACTGATCGCGAAGGCCGCCCGAGCTTGGCAGTGTTTGCCCGAGGAGGAAAAGGATCGCTTTCGCCGCATGGTAAGTCGTTTTCGTAAGCTTGGACTTGAATATAGGAATTATTTCGCTCCCTTACAGGCCTGCAGGGTGGCCACCAGTCCGCGTCATAAGCGTCGCCGTGTTTGCAATATGCACTGAAATTCCCTCGATCGATCGAGTCATGCCATAAAATCCATTGAAGTCCACGTATCCTGTTTGATGAGTTGATCATGCGACTTCTGCCTGCAGGTCGAGATAATTTTTAAAAATATATTATTTCGATAATAAATGCCTTAAATCCATCTTATAACTACAAGATACCCTGGTTTCTAAGATTTATAGCCATGGGATATGCCAATTATGTGACTATTCTGTTTTGTTTAACTTAAATAATCGTTTTATTAAACAATTTGATTATTTTTTGTGGTATTGAACAGAAAGCAGTTAGGGTTGAGGCATTTGAAGTATGCTTTAATAAAATATACTTTTGATGGCTTCAGAATATGAAGAATGGTTCAAAGGCATGTAAAAGAAAATAAATCAGTGAAAGCAAACAATCCAACGATCAAAGTTCCAATTTTGGTTTAATGCAGTGTAATTAAGGAATGTAAGATGAAATTTAATAGAATTAAATGTACGGGAGGCTGAGAACATCTTGGTTGGCAGTGATGTTGGAGTTCTCTTCTGGGCGTTAGTGTGATTGATGAACAGGGTTTCATTTATCATGGCCTGTTTATCGAAGGTGATAAGGTGAGTACCATGTATCCAGACTTCTGTCCCATTGTCCACTCGAACATTGGCAGACCTGTCGTTGATAATTACGATCCCTTCGTCCACGTATGTGATTGGGTGCAGGTCGCTCTGTTGTGTTCGACAATGCGCCATCCCCCCAGCATGCAGTTCTTTGGCGCATGAACCCTCTGCCAAACGGCAGAATGTGGCTCCCGGTGACACGGAGCAGTTTTTAATGGCGTGAATTTCTCCGCCGCATTCCGCTATAATGTTGTCTGTTATCTGCAGCATTATCTCACTATGAGCGACTGGAAAAATAGTTAGCTTCTTGCATGCTAGTTTTAATTTAGGAAATTTTATGATAAAATGTAAAACGTTAACGGACTGCAGAACCTTCACGGACGAAACGGACAAAAGATCCCCTATGGGAGTGTCGGTGGGTTCCTCAAGCCAAACTGATTTTAAGTCTTCGTGGTCTAAAATGTCCGGACGAACAATATTAATTGGTTATTCCGGCCTCCGGTTCCTCGCTGATTAAGTGACTTTTCGACAGGACACAACTCTGCGGTCTCTGGGGCAGGCACTCACTACATCAGTTTCCCTTCATGCAGGACAAACTAATTTTATTGCACTTAATAGTGGGCATAGTGGACAAAAATGGGCAGTTGAGAGGGGAGCGCCAATAACGATCTACTTATATATATATATCTCTTTATTTTTCATACTCAGATTGAATATGTCCTTTAGCAAGTCAGAAGAAGTGGACGGAAGCCATAACATGAGTGACAGATCGTTGGTAAAGAATGGATTTTTTAATTAGTTGCGCGACTTCTGTCAACGCAATAGTGCCCTGAGCTGGCCGGAAATCGCAAGGGAGGGGGCCCGGTCCTGGAAACATCTGAGCGAGGAGGAAAAGAGTCGCTACCAAATTATGTCCAGCACTGACACGGACATCGTTGCCTTGCAAATGAACAATGAGATGTGCAACCATCCAATGGGCAGAATGGGCGGCGGAATGAAGGGGAAATCTTGGCAACCCCTATAAAATTCAAAAGCTCATTTTCTCCTTGGATGGTAAGTAAACAAAATAAAATCTAACTAATTCAATTCTTATATTAATACAATTTGTATTTCTTAGAAGACGACTTTGTGATGGAAACCCCGCAAAACAGCGGGGACCCATAGCAGGAAACCCGCCAAAGGACCAAATCGAAGAGCTCAAGGTTTGGGTTCGAGATTGGCAGGGAAAAGTGGATGCCAATACAAAGACCCTAGAAGCTAATACGAACCAGTTAGCTGAGTGCACCCAGCAGATTGAAAGTCCAAGGATGCAGAGGTACACGATTCGTTCCCGATCCAAAGTGAGCAGCAGCTGGTGACGTTCGATAATTAACGGCAATTCCGTGTAAATAAAATAAAATTTTAAAAAAGTTAAAGTTTAGTTTTGTGTATATATCAAGTTAGAACACTGGATAACTTTTAAAACAATTGAGCGGAAAATTTTTTTCCCTTACAAATTACGGATAATTAACGGCAAATTATGGTTAAAAAAAATTTTTGATTTTTAAAGTTGTACTGCTACTTTCATGGACATGGCGGAAAAGTCGTCATCCGCAGCAGCCGAACGCGAAGGACTGGAGCGGAAGGGTCGGCAGAACGACGACGCTGCCGCTGAGAATTATAGGGACGGAGTCGCCTCGATGACAGGCGGTCGACCGATATTTGCAATCGATGGGTACTAGAAAATACTGGATTTCTTAATGAACGGTAGTCCTGGCAACTTATGACAACGATATCGATAACGGCAACGACAATGACAATGCTGAACTACACTATCGATAAACGCGAACGGGACGTGTTGAGTAGAGTGGCCAGACTACGGGAATCGAACTAGTGATTTCACAACGGGGAACTGTCTGGGCGGGAAATTCAAATTCCACCCTGGGAACTCTCTAGGGAACGAGATGCAGTTTTAGGTAAGTTAAAGTCTTCCGGGGAACTGTCTGGGTAACTGAGAAAGGGCTAACGCAGCGCAGCCGTGAGAAAGTTAAAGGACTTTCAGGGCGCTTGCTGAGGGAAGTCTTACGGAGAACAGTCTGGGAAAGTTTTGGGGAACTGTCTGGGGATCACAAGGAGAACGAGTTTGGCGAGGAATTTGACAGAACGAACTACAGGGGCGGGGAAATCACGTTTCCGAAGAAAGGGGGAAATGTGAGGAATTTTAATTTTATAAAAATGTTCTTGATAATAAAATATTATATTATATTTTCGGGAAGAAATAGTCTCGGATTTGCTTTACATTTTCTTGAGCAGCGCGATGTGCTCTATTGTGCTCAGCAATTATGATTTATTTCTGTTCTGTTTTGTCAGTTATGTCCTGTACGAAAGTTTTTGAATATTTGAAAGTAGTGCTCGGGAATCGTTCGATTAACGGATGTTGAATAAAAGCTAAGATTGGGAGGGAACAATGTATT